CTCTTCAGACCAATGCTGCAGGAGAAGGTGACTTTCAGCTTTCAACCCAAATACTGACCAAATTGTTTTTGAGGATTAGAGGGGAAGGGGGCTTTTTGAATTGCATGAAATATGCATCCCTTTTCTTCCAGTTTGGTAAACATAGCACTCCTCAAATCCTCTGGCCACAGTGAAGTCATAACTTGCCTTAAATTGAACACCTGAAATGAGTAATATACAGTACCAAAGTTGCATAGCGCCCCAGTTCCCCTATTATCCTTCTTTCTACTCCTCCTTTCTCTTTTTCTTTGCTCTTGATAACATGTTTTATTCTGTCTCTTTTTTCCAAATAACATTGCAGACCGCTAGCAATGGGATAAATTGCTCTTGCCATAAGGATTTTAATTATGTTTTTTTTGAAGGCCATACAAGTGGAAGCCAAGGGACAAAATGGCCCTAGGACTGCATGCAGTACCTGCTGTAGGTCTCAGGTTTGATTTTTGGCCTTGGCAATTTTGACAAAGAAAAATTCTACTTGAAACCATAGAGTACAACTGCCAATCATTGTGACCAGGATTGAGCTAAGGGCTCCAGTGGTCTGACTTTTACACGGCCACTTTCTATTGTCCAGTGCCCTTCCTTAATTGGAAATGTGCTGTTAAAATTTCATTCCTAGTATGGATACAAAGATTTAGCCCCCTCCATGGTTGTTCAACCAAAAAATGTTGAATTATTAATTTGAAATCCAGTCAGATTTAAGGTTTATAGCTCCCCATCAACTGACATGTGAGGCATGGTTTGAATGAATAATTCAGAGAACTCTCAATAAGTAGCATGGACATGAAGAAAACTGGTAGCTAAGAAAATGAATACGTTGATTAGGCTTCTAGCTTATGTCCAACCCAATAACACTAGCTGGTAGATTTCTTTTTTATGGACCAGGAGCAGCATTATATGGTTAAAGAAAAAAGGAGGATTTGTTTACAAAGAGCTGTCAATAATCCATAAATATTTTTTTTCCTTGTAGTTCTCAGCTAGTTTTGCTTCGAGACTCTTCTTCCTTCCTTCCTTCCTTCCTTCCTTCCTTCCTTCCTTCCTTCCTTTCTTTTTTTCTTTCTTTCTTATACAGTAAGAGTGGTAATTAAAGGCATTGCACTAAAACATGAGAACCATCATTAAAAAAGCACAATAAAGAATGCTCTTCCTGATTCAACTCAGAAAGTTCAGATTGCCCCAGGAATTGTTGATACAGTTCCACAGAGCAATCATCGAGTCTGTCATCTGTACTCTGATAACTGTCTGGTTTGGTACAGCAACCAAACAGGACTGGTACAGAGTCCAATGGATAGTTAGGATTCCAGAAAAAAAAAACAATTGCAACCAGTCTGCCTTCCATTGAGGACCTATATTGTTATGGTTCCAGCTAATGAAACACTTCAAAGAACTTCCAGGCATTGATTTCCCTAAAAGTCTTTTATTGATTCAAAATGTCGGCACAGGCATAACGGGGTCTATGCTAAGATCTAAGTTCTCTTCCTCTGAGCAGTTAAATTATCAGCATGTTCCCTCCCTAAATTAGCTGTCATATATCACATTATCCAATTAGTGTGAAGGTCAAAGGTTTCTTTCCTCTTTCTTTCCCGGGCTTTACCCCCACCCTCTTCTGCTCTCTATTAACCCCAAAAATACCAGACAGTTCTGCATATTGTCAAAGTAAGAATATACAGTATTTGCACCCTTGACATATATATTGCATGGGTCAAAAGAAAGGCTGAGAAAATATCTACAGATCCCTCATATCCTGGGCATAAATTGTTTCAACTCTTCCCCTCAGGTTGTCACTACAGGGCATTCCGTGCCAAATATCTAGACACAGGGACATGTCATCATCTGCTGAACTCCTAATCCTCACACTATTGCTTTATGTCTAAGTATATTTATTCATGTTGTATAGCTACAGTATTATTATCCTTTTCATTTCTCTACTACTCCCTCTTACTGGAATCATATTATCATTATTATTACTCTGTTGTTTTGCCTTTACTTTGAAACCTTCTGCACTGGAGACAAATTCCTTGTGTATTTAATCACACTTGTCTAAATAAAGTGTTCTGTTCCATTCCGTTCCATTCCATTCCACTCAATTCCACTCTATAGATTGTGAGTTCTAGTCCTTCCTTAGGCCCTAAGGCAGCTGGGAAGCTTTGAGCCAGTCTGTCTCAGTCAGCCTTAGAAAGGATGCAATATCAAAACACTTTTGAAAATGTTGCCAACAAAACTTCAGGGTCTTATCCATGTAGCTGCCAGAAGTCAAGACTAACTTGAAGGCTATGTATAATACACCCACAAACACACTTATACACACACGGTGTACATTATATAGAATATATATACATGCATATACATATATATAGGCACACACACTGTACAGTACTCTATATACTGTACACTGTGTTTATATAAGCGTATTTGTGTGTATGTTGCACAACATTGCTAAGATGTTGCTTATATAATATTACCAAAGTTAAGTGCTTTAAAACACTCATTATACCACTTCAAGAAAGTATTTTGTCAAACTGAAGTGATTATTTAGAGTTATGTTATACTTGAGATGTTTTTTTCTTTCTTGCCTCATCATGAAACTTTATAAAATGTAGTTTTAAGAATGTCTATAGTAGCGAAGAGAAATGCTGAGTCCAATTAGTTGAGAATTGAAAAACCTGATTTCTAAATATAGATATGTATCTTTAATGATATTTTTCATAATACATTTCTTCTGCACGCGGAGGTGACATGCATAGCTCCTACCATCAAGTCAAGCGAATCCACTTTATTTTACCAACTGAGCAGCTGAGAAACTCTCAGCAGTAACAAGATGGATTTCTTTTTAATGAATATTTTGAGTAGGTCTCCTATCACCAAGAAACTGGCAGGGGTGATTATTCAATAGCCAGGCCATAGCAATGAGCAATAGTTTAAGATGTGTGCTGTTCCAGTGATGTATGCCATGTGTGATGGCAAGTTGCCTCTCAGAAAGTGGTTACAAGGTGGACTGTTGAGCTGTTCATTGTTTTCCCGGCCAAATTTATATCTATTCACTCTCAGAGCAACAAATGTCCTCAGGGAATGGTCACCTTACAGTTTGTTGCCAAATTATAATGGCTAATGTGCCAGAGTAAGAAAATTATTTTATATAGAGCATAAATTAATTTAATTTAAATAATTGTTTGATTTAAACATAGTTTTAATGAGTTGCCCTTCACAGTCCATCTTTTTTGTTGTAGTTGTTGTCCTTGACATGTCTCCTTTTTGGAACACAACTGCTTCCATAAGGACAAATATTGGTCTTCATTTTAAAAACATCGTTCATGGAGGGGCATATTTGTAGCTCAGGGTTGAAAGGAAAGGTCCTTGGTATTCCCTGAGTTTGGTTGCGTCTTGCAGACGTTTCATTACCCAAACTAGGTAACATCATCAGTGCTAGAAGGGAGAGGAGTTTTCTCTAGGTAACATCATTAGTGCTAGACTAGTTTATTACCTAATTTGGCAATGAAATGTCTGCAAGAAAACAACCAAGTTCAGAGAGCACCAAGAACCCCCTCACTAAAAAAGATTATGTATACTTGCCAGGATTCATAAGGAAGGGGTCGTGATAAAAACAGAAAAGGAGGAAATGAAATCAGAGACTGTATGATGACTCTTAAAATTCTCTGGTGAAATCTTCAGAATTCTCACTGGGCCTAGTTGAGACAACTCATGAAAAGTGTAACAGGTAGTTCTGAACTTAAAACATTTTATAATCCACCAAATAAACTACAATTCATCATATACGGTCAGGGATTAAATAAAATGGGTAGAAAAAAAATAGTTTCCTACTATTTCCAGTAGCTCAGCAGTTATTTATTGCTCCTCTAAATGAAACGGGGAAGAAATGAACAATTTTATTTCATCTTCTTTTTTTCTTAATAGCCTGGAAATATGATTGAAAATTGATTTTGAACATTAGATATGTGCATGAGTTAGAAATGTATGAATCATTCTGAGCTTTTTTTAAGATTTCATTTTCTTCTGGCATGCAGTTAAATTTTATTTATTTGCTTATTTATTTGTCTGTTTGTTTGTTTCATTAGGTTTTAGATGCCCCCCAATACCAATATGCAAAGTGCAATGATATATAATATAATACATACAGCACAATATCAGTAATCATAATCAATGCATGTACCCTGGATTCTAATGTAAAATGTACCCTAGTTTTTAATCTCTTAAAATAGTTTCATGCTTTGGGAGGTTCAAAACTCCTCTATCCAGATTCCAAAGCTGAGCCTTTTCTTAATCCACAGACCATAAGATAAGGTAGCTTAATCAAAGGCTCCTCAAAAAAGCCAAGATCCAGCTTGATAAATATAAAACATAAATATATTTGGTTGCTCATTTGAACGAATCAAGGAAAATCATATTAAGTATGCATATAGGTATGTATCTTAACTACATGTTATAAGTGTCAACGCTGCTAACATTGGATGTTTTTGCATTGACAACAGATGGAAATGTAGCCATCTTTCACCTTTTGCTTTTAGAGTTAGATGATGCTGGGAGGGGTGTGTGTGAATGAAGTCTAGCTAGACATAACAGCACTAAACTTAGTGTGAAAATCAAGGTTATTGAGCCCAGAGCTGATAAAGAATTGGCGGGCTGGAGAGCTGGAGAGGAAGCCCACACTTCAAACTAATTGGGGAATGTGATTTATGACTGTTAATTGGAGGAGGGAATTGTTCTTTGATACTATATACCAAGGGGAGGGAAATTCAGTTTTTGGCTTCGATTATGCAGTGCCGATATTATGTTACTCAAATAAAAGTTCCTTTAAGGTAAACAATGCCTTGAAGTTCTTTTGAAGAGTTTCATCTGTCGGAACCATGTCATTAAGCTGCTTTGATCTAGCAAGCAGGTTTATGATTCTTGCCCAAATCTGCTTCTTTTTGTTAACTCTGTTGATATTATATTTGCTTCATTTACAGAACCAAGTTCCCATTATGTCATATCTCTGAAAGCATTCAACAATGCTGGGGAAGGAGTGCCTCTTTATGAGAGTGCTACCACCAGATCACTGACAGGTGAGTTGGAAGGGATGCTATCTTTATCCTATTTTGTTTATTCACCCTCTCTCCTATAGCAACACATATGATTGGGTAAAGTAAGTATATTTCTTTTAATGGCGAGGACTTCATCCTAAGTGCTGGGATGGGGGTGGTACAAATCTGGAAGTTCATTCTCAGAGACATTACAGTTGACTCAGAAACTGCAAGTGAAGGAGGGAGCTGATCCCACTAAAACTATGGTGACAGCATGTTGAGACCCCAGAAAGTGCGCAGAGAAGAGCAACAAGGATGATTATGGGACTGGAGGCTAAAACATATGAAGAACGGTAGCTGGAATTGCATATGTCTATTTAATGAAAAGAAGGATCCGGGGTGACATGATAGCAGCTTTCCAATATCTAAGCGGCTGCCACAAAGAAGATGGGGTCAACCTATTCTCCAAAGTATCTGAATACAGAATGAGAAGCAATGGATGGAAACTGATAAAGGAGACAACCAACCTAGAACTAAGGAAAAATTTCCTGACAGCAAGAACAATAAACCAGTGTAACGACTTGCCTCCAGAATTGTAGGTGTTCCAACCCTGGAGGTTTTTAAGAAGAGAACCATTTGTCTGAAATAGTATAGGATTTCCTGCTTGAGCAGAGGGTTGGACTAGAAGACCTCCAAGGTCTCTTCTAACTCTGTTATTCTGTTAATTGAGCTGTTGTGCCTGAGATGACTTTTTCACACATTCTCATCACAAAATGTTGAAAACCATACCTGGACGTTCCATGTATAAGGCACTAAGCCAGAATTGCTCAACCTTAATTTATTGAATTAAGACAAAGCACAGTTGTCTGGGTTCACACAAGTCAAAACTAAGCCAACCCGCATCATCACTTAAAAAGGATGTGTGAAATCTGGCTATCATATTTAATGAGTTGTGTCTTTGTGACACAATCGTGCTATCTAGTTTAAGTACCAGGTCTTTTACACGCATACTCTACAATCTTTTGAAGAAATTCAGTGATGCTGAAAACAGTATAAAATGCAAGGGTCCATACGATGTTACCCTTCCTTCTTCCCCTCTTCCAAAATTTCCTAAAGCTTTAGGAAGCTACAACTAATTAACTATAGGAGGTCCTCAACTTATGGCCACATTGGGACCAGAATTTCTGTTGCTAAGCAAGACCATTGCTAAGTAAGTCATGCCTGATTTTATGACATTTTTTAACCAAGATTGTTAAGGCAAATAACTTACCAGTGGATACAGTCATTAAGCAAATTCAGCTTTCCCCATTGACTTGCTAGAAGCTGGCTGGAAAGGTCACAAGCAGCAATCTTGTGAACCTGCGACACTAAAACCATTGCCAAACACCCAAATTTTGATCTATCGTCCATGGGAATGCTGCAGTAATTTTAAGTGTGAGGACTGATCAGAAGTCACTTTTTTCAGTAACATTGTAACTTTGAATGACTGCTAAATGAAGGGTTGTAAATCAAGAATTACCAGTAGTTAGTCTGTTGTTTCCATGGAACAATCATGGGAAGTCAGCCATCACATGTCCTATTGTACCTCTTTCTCAGGGTAGAATAAAAATACTCTTATCTTTCCTTCAATCATATATTCCCATAGGTTGCCAGTAGGACATTCCCGAAGAAGCCAGATTTGGCTATTGGGCCAGAAGTTCACCAAAGAGTCCATGCACCATGACCTTTGTCCCTTCTTGTCTGGGCTGCTATAGAAAGAATTGAAATTGTCATGTAAAGTTGCTTCCACATCTTTTAAAAAAAACTGGATCCATTATGCCTTTAAAAATGTACAAAACTTCCATTTATGGCAGTGGTTCTCAACCTTTTTAATGCCGCGACCCCAACCGGTCGTAAGTCAAGGACTGCTCAGCTGGTGCAGCACCGTTTGCAGAATGGGACTTTTGGCGGGCTCAGCAGGGCAGAGGCAGCCTGGACAATTCCTATTGGCTATTGAAAGCCAATAGAATTAGACTCTATTCAAGAGAGTCTATTTTATTGGCTTTCAAAAGCCAATAGAATAAAAGGGAGTAGCACAGCTAAGGAAAAGGGGGAAAAAAATGTCGCACTGCGTTGTTTGGCGACCCCTGTGAAATGGTCGTTCGACCCCAAATAGGGTCCCGACCCACAGGTTGAGAACCACTGATTTATGGTATGGCAGAATAACAGAGTTGGGAGGGACCTTGGTGGTCTTCTAGTCCAACCCCTTACTCAAGCAGGAGACCCTATACCATTTCAGAAAAATGGTTGTCCAATCTCTTCTTAAAAACCTCCAATGTTGGAGCACCCACAACGTCTGAAGGCAAGTTGTTCCACTGATTAATTGTTCTGACTGTCAGGAAATGTCTCCTTATTTACAGGTTGGCCCTCTCTTTGATTAGTTTCCATCCATTGCTTCTTGTTCTGATTTCATGTGACCCCCTCTTTGTGACAGCCAATGTATTTAGCACTTTGTGGCATGCCAATGTACTCTCATCCCACATTTATTAGAAGAATAAGTAGGAGGAACATTATTGAGGAATCAATAATGTTTTTCCACTGTGCAAATACTTCTAATGAAAATATGGATATTAATTAATAGTAATATCATATTGCAGGCTACCAGAATGGTATGGGAGTTCCTTTCCTCATAGCTCAGTATTCTCAGCTCTGCAAAGAGGAATAATGAAGGTTGAACCATTTACACAACACTTACCCGCACCAGAATGTGAAATTACTACTTCTCAGTTTGAGAGTACTGTGTCATTCATGCATTCAGCCAATGAGCTCCCTCATTAGAGATGCTACGACAATTACACAGAGTCCATCCATATGGAAGCAGCTCTGTTAATACGTGAATTAATTATCCTTCTGGTCGGAAATGAAAAACCTGACCTATCCACCTGAATATGCAGCAAAGTCCATAACAGCCCCTTTTGATAAATTTGACTACCTACTAAAATGAGCCAATTGTGTCAAGATTCAGCTGGAAAGACTACTGATGGAGCAAAATTAAATGATTATGCTGCAAAGAAATGTATTATATTTTCACTGGTGGCTTTAACTCCACGTAGGCTTTATATTAATGATCTCTACTCCAGCCATTTTACATTTCAAAATACCAACTGTAGGGATAATTTGAGGAACTGTAATGCCAGAACCCCAAAAGAGAATGAGGAGAGAGGGAGAGTTTCTTTTTTTTTTTATTGAAAATTTTTAGATTTTACAAAACAATACAGTTCCCTTCCCCAAGCCCCCCCAACCCTCCCATACCCTCCCCCCGACCTTCCCAGAGCTGAATAGAGGCTTAATTAAATTTTTTTCAAAAAGTCTTAAAACAGATATAAACCATAAACAAATCTAAATACATTAATTAAACAAGTTGTAAAATAGTTAACAATAGTATATATATAAAAAGACAAAAATACAAGGAAATACAAGAAAATAGGAAGAAAGAAAAAGAAAAGAAATAAAAAGAGAGAGAAAAAAAAGAAAAAAAAGAAAAATCTATAAAATCTGTAAAATATCTTAAATTTTAAATATAAGTTATTGAAAAGCTAAATAATATTTTTATATCCAACTTATATTGTATAAAGTCTATCCATTTTTTCATACCAAAAAATACTTCTCTTGCGATTGATCTTTCAAGAAAGCCGAAATCTTTGCCATTTCCGCCAAATAAGAAACTTTAAAAAACCACTCTTGCAAGGTAGGCAAAGATTCCTTCTTCCAACATTGCCCTACTAACAACCTTGCCGCTGTAATTAAATTTAACATCAATATAGTCTCTTTAGTATCACAATCAGAAACAATACCTAACAAAAACAATTGTGGGGTAAATTTTACCCTTCTTCTAAAAATTCTTTGGATATTCCACCATATCTTAATCCAAAAAGCTTTTATATTTTTACATGACCACCAGATATGATAATAAGTAGCATCCAAACATCCACATCTCCAACATTTAGGCTGTAAGTCAGGATACATACGAGACATTTTTTGTGGATCAAGGTGCCATCTATAAAACATTTTGTAAAAATTTTCCCTTAAATTTTGGGCTTGTGTAAATTTAACATTCCTCACCCAAATAATTTCCCAGGTATCTAATAAAACCGGTTCATCAAAATTTTGTGCCCATTTGACCATACATTCTTTAACTAATTCTGCTTCTGAGTCCAATTCTACTAACACCCCATAGATTCTCTTAATATGGGTTCGTCTTTGATCTTTTATTTGTTTTGATAAATTCTCATCTTCTCTAAGCAAACCCACATTACGATCTATCTTCCACCTCTCCACTATTTGTCTATAATGAAACCATGAGTAAATAATATTTTCTTGTATTAAATCTTCCAAAGATTTTAATTGCCAGTTTTTACCATCCCATCTAAGTAATTGTACATAAGAAACACTATCCATCTTAACTCCTCTCCTTATCCCTTCTATCACATGCCCCGATATAGCCCATAGTGGAATTTTAAAATCACTTCTATAATATTTCCTCCAAACCCGAAGTAAAGAAATCCTTATAATGTGAGATTTAAAAACCCTATCAACCTTGTTATTAAAAATTAGATAGGCATGCCATCCAAAAGTAAGTCCCAACCCTCCAAGAGGAGTATTTCTACATTTGTTAAATTAACCCAGTCACTTATTAATGTTAAAACCACAGCATCATAATACAATTTCAAATTCGGTACCTTGAGTCCACCTGGGAGAGGGAGAGTTTCTTAACATTTATTATTCTGCTAAACTGAAGTTAATTAGCTCTAGACAGCAAAAGCACAGATGTCAGCCAGAGTAAGAAAGTGGGGTCTCATTCAGAGATGGGACATCCGTAGTAATATAAGATACTACAGTTTCCACCATTCACATCTTCTCTCCTGACTCATCTTTCATTCAAGCTCAATACTGGCGTGTTCCCAATGGTCCAAGTTTCGTAAAGTTAGAATAGGAACATTAAGATGCAATCGTGAATAATAGAAAGTAGAATTCAGAAAGGAGCAATAACTTGAGGACACAGA